GAAGCGAGGCCAACTGGACTCTACTATATATATATATATGTGTGTGTATGTATGTATGTGTGTGTGTGCAGTTGTAGGTAAAATTATTTCCTGAAAGTGGAGCAAAATCGGTAAATTATATCTATGACTCTTTCAACTGAAATACATCCAAATAACTTCCAGGATGGTAAAGAACATTGTATTATGGTTAGAGTAATTCGGCATTCGTTACTAACGTGTAAATGTTTTCTCTCAAGTTCATTAAATGAAATCAATGCGATTTTACCCTAACGCATACGGATGTGTACTTACTTATGTGTATATTAAGGATAACATTTACTCTGCTGTACACCTACCCTTGTAGAAACGATCCTGATACATAGTCGGGCAGCTGTTTCCCTGGAGATAAAACAGATACAACATATAGAGGTTGAAAATTATAAAAACAAATCATGTTCTAAACTTTATATTACAATACTATTTAACGATTGTTTGTTGTTTTAAAGTTAAGCACAAAGCTACACAATGGGCTATCTGTTCTCTGCCCACCACGGGTATCGAAACTCGGTTTCTAGCGTTGTAAGTCCGCAGACATACCGCTGTGCCGCTGGGGGATACTATTTCGCATCAAACTGTTGTGGAGTTCACATAGAATCAGCGATTAGTAAAGCCAGCAGTTTAAGCATTTAACTACTCTGATTTTGCGAGGGCTGTAGTATTAGTATTAAAACTTAATATGATGAATAGTATTAATTTCTTTTGCCAAGTCATTGAGGGTCTCTTAAATTTTCATAAATTCAAATTCAATTGCTTATTGTATGTGATGATGTTACTTTGCTCTGTAGTCACGTCTTAGAGTTTAATCCTAAATATTGTAAGTGATGATGTTACTTTGCTCTGTAGTCACGTCTTAGAGTTTAATCCTAAATATTGTAAGTGATGATGTTACTTGCTCTATAGTCACGTCTTAGAGTTTAATCCTAAATATTGTATGTGATGATGTTACTTGCTCTGTAGTCACGTCTTAAGCCTACAAAACATGAGATTTCTTCCGACAAAAATGGTAACTGAAGGGCTACTCTAAAAATAAAAACATATCACTAAGCTTCCAGCTTGTGAATATATTGATGTTGGTTACAATAAAGTCAAGGAAGTTTGGGTAAGTCATGCTTGTCCTCATCTCAACAAAACAAATCATCTTAACAATTAGGTTTTAACACTTCTAGTTAGGTACAAAGATGATATCCTACTTAGTGACTGAGACTCCAATTGGTAAATTTGTAGCGCGTTTGTTGATTAGGAATGTTGATAATATCTTCCTTAGTGACTGACACCCGGTAACACAATGTGGGTTAGGAATGTTGATGATATCTTCCTTAGTGACTAACACCCGGTAACACAATGTGGGTTAGGAATGTTGATGATATCTTCCTTAGTGACTAACACCCGGTAACACAATGTGGGTTAGGAATGTTGATGATATCTTCCTTAGTGACTAACACCCGGTAACACAATGTGGATTAGGAATGTTGATGATATCTTCCTTAGTGACTAACACCCGGTAACACAATGTGGATTAGGAATGTTGATGATATCTTCCTTAGTGACTAACACCCGGTAACACAATGTGGGATAGGAATGCTTGATGATATCTTCCTTTGTGACTGACTCCCGGTAACACAATGTGGATTAGGAATATTGATGATATCTTCCTTAGTGACTAACACCCGGTAACACAATGTGGGTTAGGAATGTTTGTGATCTCTTGTTTAATGACTGAGACTCTTTAATCAATTGTACTGTTTAACAATCTTATCAACTAGCTACATGAAATACTATACATTTGGAGTTTAATGTATATTTTAGATATAGACTCGTATACGAGACTAAAACACTTGACGAATAAAGTCACCAATCGAAGGTTGATCATCCACTTCTAGAATGACAAGTTGAACATGTGAACTACTTCCATACGGGATATATTTATGCCATGTAACTTGTAAATTAAATTAACCATAACCTTTCCCTTTCGTGAAGTAAGAACCAGAAAAACTATGTTTATCATTCCAGGTTAGACCTGAACCAAACAATCAGTAAAACTTCATAAAATATTTCACAAACTCAATGACAGAACGAACAGAGAAAGCTGTGATATTTCAATTAGTAATTTTGTTTCTAGAGGAGGATGGCACTTTAAAATAAATTTACTTTGTAATTAATACCTAAAAAGTCCATTATCTCTTAGTAAAGTCTGTTACGATGTGAATTACCAAAATTGGTAGTCGTGTCAATGCAAAGTTACTTAATTACAGAGAGAAACACGAAAAGCTTAATCAAATACGACGTACAGTAAAACCTGCTTAATTGAATTGCATACCATACTAGCGACATACTAGTATAGTAAATATGCAAGTTTCTAGATGGTCTACTCTTCTAAACGTTCATGTTATATAGGGATATTCAAGAAAACATGTATACTGGAAAAATGCTTAACCTATTTTTCTTTCAAACTGAGACTAAAGAACGTGGGGTAAGGTATATTAACTGACAGTAAAGAAACAGTTGGAAACATATCAACTATCGGTTTCTCGCACGTTGTATAATCAAGAGTGAAGGTTTTCCCTCTAGTATAATGATTCTGAACCACACCTCTATTTACATCAGCTAACGTAAGGTGGAATAACATGATTTTGAAAAATTATATTTCAAACCAGGTTTTATGTTAGAATGAAATATTAAAGGTTTGCTTTTGATATTACATTGCATTTTGTGTAGTTCTGTGCTATTAAGACTAGTTTTTTTTAAAGAAAATATATTTCTAGTTTCTATCAATATCAACCTCAAAGGTTATGAAGTGAATTCTTAAGAAATCCTTCGAGTTTTACATTTTGTTGGTTACAATTATCCCAGTCGAAGGTTTGTTTAACAAAGTACATTATAAGTTAAATAAAAACGTCAAATTCTTCTACTAATAAAATAAAAATCAACCAAATACACAAAACTTATTATTAAAGCAGAATTAATTATCAGCAAAGTTTTCGTTAATGATTAGAATGATAGATAATTAAAGTATTCAAAAGTTTTTGTAAACAGTAACTCATTAGGTTTCTTTCAGTTTAAGTAATGTTTACTAATCACAAACAGTGGCATGAGGCCAACATATCTAGTTCGTAAGGAGACATTATAAAAGCATAAAAAGAACCTCATTAAGTGTTGTTCACGCTACAGATATTCAGTACACATCGCAAAGTTAAGCAAATTTATGTATCACTGAATTATCTTACTTGTTTCCTTCTGGAGTCAATATTTGTTCTCAAGACCCGATTGTTGACTGGCTGAGCAGGTCGATAGTTATCAGCTAGAGGTGCTTTTGGATTTTCATCGTCACCTTGTTTCATCTCTCTAAGGGCGTGCAACTGCAACAAGAAGCATATAGTTTTTGATCAGCTTAATTTAAACTTATAGTTTTACTACAAAATTCACTACAAGCTGTGGACTTTTTATTCTAACTGCGAATAGTTGGTTGTTTCTACGTTTTAAGTACTTGAATAAAGTTACGGAGAGTAGGACGAAACCATTTGAACATATCTTGCGATAGTTATCGTTTCTATATATATAAGCGAAACGACGTCTAATGAAGAAGGAAACTACTTTATTCATGAAAGAAAGAGCGACAGTTTCTGGATGAAATCACTAAGTTAGTGTTTCAAATGTATAGAAAACTCCATATATGTAGAGGGTAGAGTTTGTTATAACAATCCAATATTAAGAGTGAGGTTTGGTTGTTTTAGAGCAAAGCCACATTGGGATATCTGCTGTGTCCGCCGCGGCGAATCGTAAGTTGTAAGTTTGTAAGTCCGTAGATATACCGCTGTCCCATGGAAGGACAATAATAGTAATGGCTAAAATTAACCTAATCGATATTTAGGTATTTTGAATTAATTTCATTGTCAGTTTAAGTATAGGATGCCTGCTAACTTTTCATGAGGTGCGGAAAACATGCTAAAGGAACGGCTAGAAATGATTTTTGAATCCCCCCCATCCAGAAACTTGAAATCAATTTTAAATTTTTACTGAAATTCTGAATTAAACTGTACCTTCGGAATAAACACAGAAACAAGCACGAACAATCACGTTATATGGATATCGCGAAAGTGATAATGTGATATTTAACTCTGGAGAAACCACATGAACAGTCACGTTATATGGATATCGTGAAAGTGATAATGTTATATTTAACTCTGGAGAAACCACATGAATAGCCACGTTATATGGATATCGTGAAAGTGATAATGTTATATTTAACTCTGGAGAAACCACATGAATAGTCACGTTATATGGATATCGTGAAAGTGATATGTCATGTTTAACTCTGGAGAAACCTTGCACAGTTTCGTCTCGTATAAAGACGGTAAGGTAGTAGAAGTTTTCTGAAACTTCATCAGTCACTTTAGTTTCGTGATATTGCAAGTTATTTGGGTAAAATAGGGGTGATTATAACTTAACTTATAAACGTTGATCAGATAAGTTGACTGATTGGTGTAAGATGTAGGCTATTTCTAAATCATAAAACATGTAATTTATTTAAAACATACGGTACGTGTTGTAAACAATCTCCTCAAATACTAACCTGCGAGAAAAGAAAGTCTGGTCATTACAACCTGCGTGACACTTTCAAAAACGAGAGACTATCAATCGATATGAAGTTTATCCAATGGCACGAGGATCTGGTTTTATGAATCAAGTGTTAAATATTAGCTTCAGGGCTATCCCCCCCAAAAGTCTCCAAACAAATTTGGTGTAAATATGATACAGAAAAAAAATCGGGAATTAAAAATATTTGTCACGTGTTAATCTAAAATATTTTTTTTTTAGCAAACGTTAATTGTTTCTGAAACAAAAATAATACAATTGAATTTATTCTTGAAGTATCAGTTCAAAGTTATGTGTTCTATGAAGCCATACATCTTCGAAGACTATTTATTAGCTTAAACTTCAAATTACCTTCTTTTTATATACTACTTCCTATCAGTGGGGATTATAATACTATGCATAATAGTGAGGAATGTTTTTGTTTTTGTCTGTTACAACACTCATTGTAAACAACGGACAAAACGTTGGATAAAACTCACTAATTTTCTATGTTAATGCATAGGAAACTCCATATAAGCAGAGGACAGAGTTTATTATAGTAAAACGATTTTTGCAAGTCACATGACAACCACAGCTAATATAAAGAAAGGTGGAACTGTGTGTATCAGAAACTTGATATTGGCGTTTGGTAGATAGTGTGATGCTTCCGAAAATTGATTGGTTTTGTGATGGTTGTGTAACAACTATTTCCGACGCAAATTATTCATACACGCAGATCGCAAAGATTTATTCAGATGGGTGTATACTATAGACTTTCTTAAACGCGGATATCCCTTTTACTTAATGACATTGGAGAGCCAAGGAGAATGAATCAATTTAGAGTACTAAGACTAGCCAGAAAGAGACCTGTAACTAGTCTTACCACAGGCATGTTAAGCAAAGGGGGATTTCATGTAACGGGTGAAAAATCCATGAATAAAAATGCCAGAGGCAAAAGCCGTCCACCTGCCCTACACAACATAGTTAAGAAGAATCTCCATTTAGAAAAGTGTCACGAGTCTTGTTTACACAAGCTGCTTCCACTATAAATCCAGGAAAGGAAGCCAACTGCATGAACAGTAAGTATGCAAATAAGAAAGTACGTGGTGACACTCGACAAATATTATATATATATATTGCTATGACAACTCTAAGAAGTCGAGTACCATTTTGCTACTGGTCAAATGGTGAAAAATATTTTGAAAAGTGATACACCGTATGCCAGAAAACCTTTTAAAAGAGATTGATAATCATCACTTGATACTGTGTCAGGGGAGCGCATAGCTCTTTGCTTATTATCCGAGCAATGTTCTGGACTCCTTGCAAAACACTGCAATATCGGATTTGTGCGAAAACAAAGCTGACAGTTCACCAAGATATGGCTTCCAGTCATACCTCATGTTTAACCGTCGCATATCTCAAGTAGCTTTTGCATAAAACACCTGTTTCATGCAAAAATATACTGGTCAATTCGCTGAATGCAACGCATATGGATTTCTGTACTATAGGACTGTTGAAAACTACATAGATTATGGGAAGCAAACAGAGAAGAGTGATAATCTTTGGGCATGCGATCTTTACGATGGAGTCTTTCCTAATGGCAACTACGCTACAGGACTATTGTCAAGATCCACGGTCGTCAGGAAGTGCATAACCGGACGCAAATACATTAATTGTAAAGACATGTTGAGAGTAAAGAGACGGCGAGTGCAGATAGCCCTTGAATATCCAAACAAACAAACAATCTGTTATTAATGACCATGTAAACAATTAAGACCTGAACCTCCAATAAATTTATTATACAAACAGTTTAGTAAAATAAGTTCAGAAAACATATAGACACCATAAGTAAATTAACGTTAATAGAGTTGAAATGAACGGCGTCATGTGTACATTAATAATATATTTTCACTTATGGGGTTTAGGCTTTAAAGTAACGACTGATTAATAATATTACAAAATTGAGCAATAGATGGCAGCACAATAAATGATGTTACTTTTATTTTACACATTTTGTCTGTGAAGTAGAAAATCTGATACATACTAATTGTGCATAACATTATTTGGTGATATTTAGTAAAACTACTTTGAATTGGGATTAACTAAATTTTTTTTCACAAAGCACATAATATACAGTTTCATTTGGGTTAAAATTAATAAAACTAAGGTGCAGTTAGACTACACTTTTTGAATATATATATATATATATATAATATTCTTTTTGCTAGAAGTATGGAATTCAAGCCAAGCATACAAAAGCTTGAAGATATTTAGCATTAGGTTTACTAATTCTAGACATTAAACTATACTTTGCTGATGCACAGAATGATAGGCAAAAAGACCAAAAGATCGTCAAGCTTAAGTTACTACTGTTCAAATTAATATAGTGAAGCTATAATACACTTTTGAAAGTAGCTTATAGTGAAGCTACCAGCTGCCGAAAATGGTTAAGTAGTCAAGTACCAGCCGTTTAAAGTGGTTGGGTAATGAAGCTGCAAGCTATTGAAAGAAGTTAGGTAGTAAAACTCCAAACCATTAGAAGTAGTTTGTAGTGAAAATACTAGTCGCTGAAAGTAATTATATTAGGTTTTCAGGTCTACTTTTCATATACTCCCAATGTTAAGGCTTCTCCCAAACTTCGTTATTAATAATTATCATATGACCGTATTACAGTAAACCATTTTCCTTTGGAATAAATATACTCAAAGAAATCGATATAAAGATACTTTCTTTAAACGAAAACACGGAAGACGTACTAAGATAAAGAATTAATTGTTCTTTAACATTAATATGTCAGTACTTTTAGTTGAGGTAATGTTCTAAAATTAACCTCACTTCAAGTAAAACATGAATATGTCAGTACTTTTATTTGAGGTAATGTTCTAAAATTAACCTCACTTCAAGTAAACCATAAAAGTAAATTAATAAACAATCTTTCTCTGTTATAAAAGCTATAATCAATAAAAAGTAAAAGTTTGAATTTAACACGAAGCTAAAATTAATGGTTATATTTTGAATTCAGTGATTGATATAAGTATCGCATTTCAAAGACAGAGTATCCTAAGTTAATAAACTAAAGTATACGCCACCCAGTGGCACAGCGGTATGTCTGCGGACTTACAACGCTATAATTCGGGTTTCGATACCCGTGGTGGGCAGAGCACAGATAGCCCATTGTGTAGCTTTGTGCTTAATTATAATTATAAACAAACAAACTAAAGTATATGTAACATTAAGCACAAGCTAACTGACAGCAAAGGAACTAACGCTTCTTGCAGTGAAATGACATATCGTTCTGGAAAAATCCAGTGTATTTTTGCCTAACTAAACGGTGAATTAAACACCACTTTCCATGTGCCAGTAAAAACACAAATAGACTAACGTTTCCTTTGCCTACTTAGATTTCTCTCTATGCTAAATACGAAACCCGTTGAGAGTTCAAAATATATTTGCTAACCGAAAGCGATTTCGTAGTCTAAAGGAAATACTCTTATGCCACACTTGAGTGTTATTTGCATATTTATTGCAAGCGAAAGACGTTCCATCCGCAGAGATCGAATCCAGAATTTTTTGGGCCATCAAACTTACCGCGGAGCCTGGATACTGATTTAATCCTTTTGAAATCACATTTCTAAATTATTGGTTGTGTTTCACCGAGCGTCAAATCGAGTGTATTTTTGTATGCTCACACATGTATATCAGTGCACACGACAAAATTCAAAATTGAAAATTAGAAATCCAGTTACGTTTTTAAAATAACACAATTTCTAATTTAAACCAATAATACTACTCCCGGATTATATATATAATGTAATTATTGTTTTGTAAAAAAAAGTTTGATTTGAAAAATTTCCATATCATGAAAATTAGGCATTTTTTTTTGATAAAAGCCATGAGTGAAAATTATCCTACTAGTTAATAAATGATTTTTTTGGATGAATCAATATATAACTGTTTAATTGATCTTAAAAATTGTGCACAAACTACTAAGATATTATTTTATTTAACGTAGAATTAAAAAGTTAAATGTGTTAAATAATTAAATCCAACATTTATTAGTACACTATAAATATTTTAAGCAAGAGTCCTCCAGTCTCAAAATACAATAAATATGATTTTACTTAATAATTGTACAGTAAGGTTATTAAGTAAAATAATCAATATTGCATTTTCAGTTTCTATGTTTATTTAAAGTTAGGCACAAAGCTACGCAATGGGTTATCTGTGCTTTGCACATCATGGGTATCGAAAACAGGTTTCTAGCGTTGTAAGTCCGCAGACATGACGCTGTGCCACTGGGGGACTTAATTATTAAACATTTGTTGGATTTATTTGTTTAATACATCTGGGAGAAAACTTACACAAGTGTCGTCCTAACCTAACCTAACCTTAACCTAACCAAACCTTAACCAAACGTTAGAGTTTCCTAATAATAAAATACAATATTACAATGTTAGAAAATGTTTCACATTTTTCAGTATTCACATTATTCTCACATGGGAAACAGTGATTATCAATAATGTATACTACATGAAGTATTAATTAATTTTCAGAGTGAAAGGGTTGGAAACTTTACAATGATATTCGACTATGCTTACACATTTATAAGTTTTCTCTGGAAGGAGACATTTTTGTATTAGTGATTATTCAATACAAGGTCCATTTCTAAGTGTACGAATAATGATAAATACAGAGAGTACATGTGTAGCATACACACTCACACACTTATATGTGTGTATATTCATATAGCTCCTTCACTTAAGATGTGTGAAAATAATGTCGGACATTCAGAGCTTCGTGTGCACTTTACAATAATATATTCATATATTCAAAAACTTATTTACTTGTTTATAAAGAAATATAATTATTAATGTTAAATAATACGTGTTGCCTGTAACTTAACATATTTAAATTAGAAAGCTGTATTTGAATACATAATTTCCTTCCATCCTCCAATCTAATAAACGTGGTTTGGATAATTTGTCTTTTAATAATTAATCGAATGAAACATCATGACAATTTGAAATTGGTTTTAACTTTTAACATTTCCAAATACAAGATTCAAGCTAGAAGAGTGTATGTTAGCGTTTTTGTTTGTTTTGTTTTAATTTCACGCAAAGCTACACGAGGGCTATCTGCGCTAGCCGTCCCTAATTTAGCAGTGTAAGACTAGAGGGAAGGCAGCTAGTCATCACCACCCACCGCCAACTGTTGGGCTACTCTTTTACCAACGAATAGTGGGATTGACCGTCACTTATAACGCCCCCGCGGCTGAAAGGGCGAGCATGTTTGGTGTGACGGGGATTCGAACCCGCGACCCTCAGATTGCGAGTCGAGCGCCATAACCACCTGGCCATGCCGGGCCATTTTTAGCGTTTTAACAACACATTGTTTTAGGTCACTGTAGACGTGGCTCATCAGTTAATTGATTGTCGATATTCAAATCCTTTCACGCAAAGCTATCCTTCAAAAACGTTTAATTATGTGGTGTCAATAAAGTGAGAGAGTACAATCGCCCCCCCCCCCCCACAAGATTGATGGGCACATTTTGTAGTTTTAGGTTAAAACAACGAAACAGAAGAATTTATAATTCTATAGATTACAAAGTATGACAGTTTTTGAGGTATCATTAATATGATCAAACATTACGATATTACCAACGGGTCGTCGTCTTTCTCAGTATAGAAGGAATAGTGCGAGGCAGGTTGTAATGTTTAAAGGACTTAGTTGAAGCAATAGCCCCTTTATTCGTTTTCGTGATACATTCAGTTGAAAGATGGATAACACCAAAGTTAAGAGTACATTTTTTAAAGTTTATCAGATGCTCACTCAAGATGTATACTCAAAACACAGATTTGTGTTATGCAATTTGATCGTCCTATTCTTGACTGCTTTGTTAAAGCAATATACTGTACGTTTCCATTCTCTTTAATAGATATACTCCCAGAATAAAAACATCTTTATTGCAACTATTTTTTTTACAGATTTGACTAACATCCCTCCAAAAAAAAACTACACACGTACAAGTACAAACAAATAGGTGAATCGAGATTTAGATAGATAGATAAATAGTCAAATAGGGTGCGAATCAAGATATAAAAATATGCATTTTTTTCATATCGCTATTTCATTAAGATTTTTGACCAAATCTGTAACATACAAGTTATATATATATTTCAACCATCATCCGTAAAATCGACATATTACTTTTGGGAAAGAAAAACTATTTCATTTGTTACACGTAAGTGTATAAAAATCATGTTGAGTGATCAGTCGAATTAACATTATGAAGAATTATCTTTTGCATTACCTGTTGTTTGGTGATATATATTGGTTTGTTCATGATAATCCACGTAATTGTCTCGTAACATCCAGGAAGTGTTGTTGAGCCTTCGTAGGTTATGTAGAAGTCTGTATCAGGAAGAAGATCACGGACGGACAGATGATCGATGCGAGCCTTCTGTCCTAAGAAGATTAACAGATAATGTTCTATTACATTATTCATTTGAAAGTAGTTTCGGTAAGAGTAGTAAGTAAAGCATTTGACGTAAATGTTTAATACAAGATTATTTTCCATCGTTAGTTGAATATAATGTTTATAATAATTGTGAGAAATTATTGGGATTACGGCCAAAAATGTCGATAGAAATGTCGGCATATCAGTATGTATCTGTTATATTATATTATCTATGTAGGAAAATTGCTTTCACCAAAATTAGTTCAAATATTATAAAGAACATACTGTGGGCTGGGCGAGTCTCAGGAAATAGCCTGCCGGAATATGTGTCCGAATATTATGGTTTGAATCCTACTACCGGAAAAAAATAAAATAAAAAAATTCGTGCTCCGCACTTTGGCACCGTAGGTGAGTTATCGGAGAGACAGACAAACTCGCTATTCAGTTAGAATAATACAAGATACTGGAATACGAGTTCAGAATTAGGGACGGCTGTGCGCAGATAGCCATTGTCTAGCTATGCAAGAATATTTGAAGTATATGAACCGACATTACATTATATAATTTTACGTTTTACGCGTTACAACACTCATTGTAAAGAACTGATAATCAACTGAAACAACTCATTCTTTTATGTAAATTACATAGAAGACTTGAATAGCAATTAATGGGATTAATTTCAATATTCATGTTAATTTCTTACATTTCTTGTGTGACCCATAAGTTATTAATAACCTTGTAAGCCACAAATTAATGGAACCACAAATATGCCAGGTTTTGTGACAGTCGGTCTAGCAGTTTGCCATTTGTAAGTGGACAAACAGAAGTTTTTCATATAATGGTTTAGAAAAATCAAACAACGCATATACAACCTTTACAAATGATCATTTTTCACGTATCTACCACAGTTATAATAAAATATAATATTTTCAGTCTTTCTCTTGCAACCTCAACCTACACGTTAAACTGACTGTTCAGTACATGTTTTGAAGTTCAATATACATATATATATATATATATATATATTAGTTTGGAAAAAGAGAACTGTGTCATATATCCACCAAATCCACGAAATGTAACATTCGAAAGTTAAAGCTGATTCATATTACATAATCAACAAGTCCGTAAGAATAGCATTTTGTTATTCAAAATATACGTATAGTAAAGAAGGGATAAGTCATATCATCGATTATTTGAACTAACTGTTTGCGCACGTTCCAGTTATAACATAACGATTTTGTTCAAAACTACTTACTTCTTGTATGGGGCAATGAAAGGAAAAAAAAAGTTTGTTTGATTAATGCACTGAAGTTTTAAGAATTTACCCAAATTGCTTGTGAACACGCTCGTGAAGTATGGCTAGTCATAAATTGAAGCTGACAAATTCAGCATCTTTCAATGGCTAAAACATCTCAAAGACTTATCAAATAAACTATTTATCGAGATGTTTAGAAAAATAGTTTATTTTTGTACTAAACGTTTTAAAGCTCTAAGCAAAAATGGAAGAAATGTTCTACTTAAAACTATTTGTTATTATTCCTACATGAGAAAATGACACAATTGTAACACAAGGTAGATTAGATGTGGGAGAACGTCTGTAGAAGCATGAAAACAACAACCAAAAATACGCAACTTGTTTCTTCTCTATAAAATCCACTTCATGAACTGTATGTACAAAGATAAATTAAGATACACGAAAATCGATATAATGAAACTTGCAAATGACAAGAAGAATTTTAATTAATTGTGCCTAATTGCGTAAGACTTTTATTCATCAATGAAAATCATTGTGTTCGAAGTGACCTGAAAGAACTAAACACGTTAATCAAGTTGTTTGTGTTAGTACTGTCAAATGTCAAGTGCGATTAACGTTTTAAGAATAACTGTGAGTAATTTATTTAAGTAGATAACGTCATAAATATAAATAATTAACAATTATTAGTCGCGGTATAATGGCTCATAGCTCTGTCATCTCTTGACCGATTTCAGATCTAATTACAGGTTTGGACTCAGGGGGTCAAACACTTTTGATTGATGTATTTATAGATTAATTTATTCTAATCTTGCCTAAAAGAGTTTCAGGTGCTGCGGCTATTGAGGATTCCCTCTTGTTTTAACTCTAAAGAGTTTTTGGTATATGTTTCTAAGATCAGAGTATTATTTAGATATCACTTCTGAATAAGTTATCATCAAATCAGACTACATACACGGATCAGAACTAATCTATTAGGATTAATTACTGTCGATAGTTCAATACACTGACTACATACACGGATCAGAACTAATCCTTTACAGATTAATTAATGTCGATAGTTCAATACACTGACTACATACACGGATCAGAACTAATCCTTTACGGATTAATTAATGTCGATAGTTCAATGCACTGACTACATACACGGATCAGAACTAATACTAATACTAAAAGTATGCAATGACATAAAACAAAAATATACATAAAATAAGAAAGGACTAATTGTTCAGTTGGGTACGGTCTCTACTATGTGTGCATCAGTTCGTGTTTTTAACTAGTTTTAACATAGACACAGTAATATAAACACTATATCTAATACGGTGTTTTCGGTACTTATATTTATGGTAAAGCTACTAAGACTATCTGCCATCATCCATGATTTTGAAATACTGACTGGGCTGAAGACAACCAGTAAGCAACACCCAATCATCCACCATTCGAGATGAAATATTGACTATCATTCTTATAACGAACCAATAGCTTAAAGTGTGGAAAATAATTTGTGGTAAAGACGGAGTCGAACCCAAAATCCAGAGCTATTTCACAGAGAAAACCCACGCCTCTTAATATGATACAATGTGCGTTGTACAACCAATACTTTTTCAAAAGCTACCTGTCCTTCCACGTTAATATTTATATATTTATTCACATATGTGACTTACAGTTTTAAAAGTTTAAAGCAAAGAAAACAAATATTAAAACTCAATGCAAGAAAATAACAAAAACACTTATTAAGGTTATGAGTTTCATTAAAGATCAGAAAAAAATAACATTTAATTCTACGAAATTTCGCGAGTTAATTTAGTAGCACGAGACATGTTAAAGCTGCTAAGATGCTAAAAGTTAAATAGAATGAATTAGAGAAAATTACGAGAAAATTAATTTTCTTGTAAATTTCTAGAATATTTAAATCAGAAATAAAGTTAATTTCCTTCATACATAAAATTAGCGCATCACAACTTCTATGTCAGTGACATCTAGTATGCTTAAACTCTAAAAGAAACAATGAAATTGAAACTATTTTATCAGTAATTGTAAGAGAAAACAATATTCCAACGAGTGACGAAAAAAAACGAGGTCGAATATGAGCTGTAGATCATTGTTAAGAAGTAAAACAGTGATTTTCTGTATTTTTTTCTTTTCTTTAATAAAAGAAATTAGTTTGGTATAGCTGAGGAACCTCACATTTCTTTCACATTGTTTAGCACCATTTTGGAACCAAGTGTTCCAATAAAACATTTAACATGTGCTTTGTGATGCAAGAATAATTACAGTTTTGATATTGTTTTATACTAGCACAATATATACATATATGAAACACATGCGAGTGTGGTATTCAGATACACCGATGCCAGAGAGATAAGTCTATACTAAGCGCAAAACGCAGGTTTAGAACTATTATTCAGATAATAAGTCGAACTTGGACAGCAAAGGCAATTTAATAAATTAGTACAATCTTTACTCAAAACACGGTGAGTATGGTGAAACAGATTACTAGCTATATTCTAGTCTGTACGAATACCATTTGGCTGTTGGATTAGATGGCAGAAGAAAAAAAAAAGCGACAAAACGAAATGACAGTAGAAAAACAACAGACAAAAGAACAAACCAGGGAAATAACCCAATTTTATAGTCAGACGGAAGCCTTTGTGTGGTATCCCATAAATCGTTTGGTTACGTACTTTAAAACCACCATTTTTTAGACTTTTCTAAATCATTTCAAACCATTTTGCACATGTTCTTGTATCACCTTTTTGAATAGTCAAATTTCCAAAGAGAAAGATGTACATGTTAGGTTGGGAGTTAAGTTGCAACATGTAATTTTTGCATGTGTAAAAGGATTAGAACATGTTTACGGACATGTGACGACTGTTCCAAAAGGATGAGGTTAGCTACATGGAAATATAGAAAAAATATCTGAATATACTTGAATAAAGATATATTCTGTACTCGTTGCAGAGAAGTAAAATTAGCAGTTATTTTAGATACGACAGGAGCAAACAAAGCAAAGTACAATAGCTTAATGTGATTCTAGTTAATGGTTTCAAGGGGAAAACAATTATAAGTAATATTGATATATCCTAGATACAGTGCTCTTTGAACTGAAAGAAAAAGGAAAAAACGTACTGTATTTTTCGGAATATAAGACGCACCGGTGTATAAGACACACCCTTTGTTTGGGGGGAAAAAAGCTACAGTAGCATTTGAAAGATTTTTATTGAACAAAAATTCAATTTGATACTTTAAAAATTAGTATATATTGTTCTAAACACAAACGAGATCAAAACATCAAAATAAGAAATACAGTAAATCAAAAAACGGGTTTACTGTTATTTAGTTTGGTTCAAAACCTACAAAATCTTCATTGCTTTCACTGTAATTTATTTTTTTAATATTTAGGGAGCATTATAAATAGTTATGTTTTTAAAAGAAAAAAAAAACTACTATTGAACTAAACTATGCATGCCTATCTAAATATATTTACACGTGGCTTGTATATATCGTATATATAAATATATGTATTATTCACACCTTCAGTGTATAGGACGCAAGCAGATTTTGACTTCAAATTTTGGGGTAAAAAAGTGCATCTTATACACCGAAAAATACGGTACATAATTTTCTTTTTTACACATGATGTACTTCTCAAGTCAGGATCTTGGTGAAGTACCACTACTCTTATTTGTTTACTTGACGATTTTAAATGGGCACAGATTAAATGTCGTATTATCTTCTTGTTGGGTTTAATTAAAG